GAGAGAGAGAGAGTCAGAGATAGATGCTGACAACGGGACCGGCGCACAGTTATTGGACAGTTGTAGGACCGTAGTGACCCCAGCGACACTTTCTTGCAACAGCTGTGTGATGTGAGATGTAGTGACAAGATGGATGTGTTCTGGATGGGTGCTCGCCGTTTCGGTCTGGTCCTAGGTCCTAGGACACTGTAGTCACTGTAGTCCTTAGACTGCGTGGCTTTGTCGCACGCCGCTGACGAAGTGGCCACTCGCAAAGTGCATCATGGGCCGCAAAAAGGCTCAGCCTCAGGACAGACAGCATGGCTGCAGTAGGAAGCCTAGAAGACTGGTACTGACGTAGTGACTGTGATGTAGCAGATTGTTCGCACCGTGTGTCGCAGTATGCAGGACACTCCTGCGCCATCCGGCCCTTCAGCATTGGCAGTCCCAGCCCCAGCTCAGTCGAGCGCACCTCCCAAGAAGGACAGTGTGGCTGTGTCGACCAAAAGCGACACAACTGCTTCGAAGCGACGCAAGCTGGCGGGGGCTTTGCTTCCAGTCTTGGTTTGCCCGGTGTGTGGGCTGTCGTCCGAGGACTTCGTTTGTCGATAGCTGCGATACCTTTGATGGCCAGTGGTGTCTTTGTAGATGGTAGCTACCACATTTTCAGCCGAGCCTCAGCATAGGGCATAGGGACAGCCGTAGTGGCATATAACTTCTCGGGAGCTGCTCCATACCACACTCTCCAGAAAATATGTTTGTTTCCAACGAGGAAACTTAACTGCTATACTAGGACTAGGTCACTAGGTGACTAGGACCGGACTATGACTAGTGACTAGGACTAAGGTGACTAGGCCCACTAGGCTCTAGGCCCTATGCCCGCCCCAGTAGTCAGTAGCCAAGCCGAAGAGTCAGTCCAGGACACCCCTTGGGCAACCGAGAAAGATGGCGCGCGAATGGAAGGATGTTTGCTTGATGTCACTTTGGCAGTGAAGCTCTACCCGAACCTGGCATTCCCGGAGGTCACTGTGCTGATCACCTCCCCAACACCGGCTGGAGAGGGAGCCCGCAAGAAGTATGAGTTGGCTAAGGCCCTTTTCAAGAAGAAGAAGGAGCGAGGGGTGAATGAACTCATGCTCGAGAACAGTTCCGACGTGCGGCGGTCAACCACCTATGGAGCTCCGGAAAATTTAATGTTTGAACTCCCTAAGTCCTTGAATCAATGTTGGGTTCCTGAATCTTTGTTTCTAATTAGCTAATTATATATAGCAAGTAGGAGCTAGCTGCTAGTTAGTTGCTGCTAGGCCCCTGCTAGGCTAGGCCCCTAGGCTTAACCCAGACCCCGGACCGATGAGCTAGCAGCTAGCTGCTACCTGCTACTGCTAGATAGCTAGTTGTCAGGCGCACAGCTCCATGTAAGAAATGTAAGAAATGTTTTTGTTGGTGCAACGGTCGTGAAGCTCTTTGAGAAGCCAAACTGCAGCCGCGTTGTAGTGAGCTAACAAGATATTCCAGGAGCCCACCCCAATACTCTATCCAACCAGCCCCTCTTCAACTAACTAATTTACTCTAACTAGAAAGCAGTTAACTAGTGCGTTGGAGAAAGAAACCAACCCTCGGTTGCAGATGGCCCTACAATTGTTGGAGCTCCCTCTACCTTAGGGCCTAGGCCCGATTCGCGACTTTAAAACAATAATTTCGTGAAAGGTTACTGGTGACTACTGATACTACTGATTTACTAATGACTGTGACGACAGTCACTATTCACTAGAGTCACTAGAGTCACTAGAGTCACGATAGTCCGATAGTCACTATAGTCACTAGTCAGTCGTTACTTGTCATTAGTGACCAACCACTAACCACGACAACTGGCCCAAACCCGAAACCCAATCCCTTTCACTTAGAAAGGCTCTCTTCTGTTTTTGGCTTTGTCTAGCTGCTAGCTGTGTCTCTATAAGAAGGTCACCAGGCTAGAAGCTAGGGGCTAGCGGCTAGGGGTCAACGTGTTTTACGATTGATCTTCCACACCAACCCCGCCCGTCCGCATTGCATCCGGTGCTACAGGAACGGAGCTGTACTATGAGGTGGGTGTTGTCTCGGAGAGCGAGTTCTTGCGACTCGTTGGTGCTGCTCCCAAGCAGCTCAAGTGCAAGGGCGTCCGTGTCGTCTCTTCTGAGGAAGGTGAGAGCTTTACAGGATACGTGTTGTCCCTCCGTGGCTTGCCTGTGGATGAGATTTTCGCAATGCGAAAAATGCGGATGTCGCACGAGGTGAGAGTGCAGCTGGACAAGCTACTCCTCTTGCATAGCGACCAGATCTCCGAGGACCAGGCGGACGAATGGTTGGACTTCGCAAAGAAGCAGCTGAACGAGCAGCGGCCCAAAGGGACACGCTTATGCCAGCGGGCAAAGTTGTCCACCGTCGAAGAGCTGAAGAAGCGAGCAACAGACCTGGAGGAGGAGCGGCGGAAGCAATGGACAGAAGACGAGTCCGATGAAGACGACGAGGATGAAGAGCCGGACGATGCGGAGGCTTTGGAGGACCTGCTGGAGGAAGGTTTGTCTGGTGCTGCGTCCGCCCCCAAGCCCACGCTGCAGGTAGCTCCCACAGCAATGGCAGCGCTGATGGGCCCCAAGGATCTTGAGACTCCGCAGAAAGCGGTGCGTAAGAAGAAGTCAGAGAAATACCAGGATGAGGAGGACCTCCCCGCAACATCAGTGCCTGAGAACGAGGACGACGGAGAAGTGGACGAGGAATTGGAGCCGGTCGCCGCCAAGCACCAGGAAGTTACCAAGGCCAAGAACAGGGCGACGTTTTTTGTCCACCTTCGTGTGAAGAACGCCTTGTCCGGGAACTTTGACGGCCGCTGGCTGACCGCGGCAGGGAGGGGGCGGGGGCGGGTAGAAACTTGCGGACTTGCGGGGGCCTTGCGGGGGTCTGTGAAAATATTAGATGCAGTTTTATGCTGTTGACTCGTGGAGTTAATAGTTGAACAGTTGTACTTGTGTTGTTATACTTGGGCAACTATTAATTATCGGTATCGATGGTGATAAGCACTGACTGAGTCATTCTAGTGATTCTAGTTATATCATAGTTAGTTTCTGTGAGATTTTAGATTCTGATAGATTCGCTTAGATTTGATTAGAGTGATTAGAGTAGAGTAGATGAGTGAATGACAGGTTGACAGATTCTGAGGGGTTGATAGATACTACGGATAGTGACGGATAGTGATAGTGATAGTAAAGGTGATTGATGTCTGATAGTGACATGACAGTGAGAGCGGCAATGGATAGGATAGCCGGAGCACGCCGCCATCCTGCTGCAGTTGAAGCAAGCAAGACTCGACGATTTTCGTTCAGTGATGGTGTCACACTACCGTTTGCCACACTCCTGAGCCCTGGACCCGCGAGTGGACCATTAAGCCAAACCGAGAAGCCCATAATTTAGGCCTGCACTGGCTTCGCGTAATCTCTTAACACTCTTAACCTATATTCCGTGAATATGAATCCCGAGGCCTAGGACCCAAAGATATCCCTGTAAACTTAAAGAACACATCTTGAGCAATATCTGATATCTGACTGAAGGCAGCTTTTCGACTATTAAATTGTGATTACTAGGCTTGACTTGACATGGCTAGCGGCTAGAGACAAAGCAGCCAGCAGCTAGCTGGAAGCTAACTAGCAGCTAGCAGCTAGCAGTTAGTGACAAGTAGTTAAGTAGTTAGTAGACCAGTGACCCAGTTCGAAGCTACCGGGGTTACCAGTGGCTGGCTGCTGCTAGTAACTAATTATTAACTAGTAGTAACTAGTAACTAGTAACAGTCACCCTGAACAATAGGTAGGATAGGCCCTAGACGTCTAGACTCTAGACTCTAGACTCTAGACTAAACGAAACCCCAAGCCCGTAAACCCTATAAAACTTGAATTCCTAATTAAGGCCCCAGTGATGACCGTTTACTAATTGTAGTAACTGTAGTATAGTAACCGCTGCAGTCGCCCTGATATGGAAGGCAGGCAAAGTGATGGATTCCTTGACCAAGCCACGGAGATTCAAGGAGGCGGACATTCTGGAGGAGCGCAAAAACAAGTGCGAAGCCGCCTTCCTTCTAGCGGACAGAAAGAAGCTTGCATTGCTGGAGAAATCCAAGTTCAAGCAGTACCTGCTCGTCTTGAAGGACGAAACGAAGCTGTTCCCCCTCACGCTTCAGATCCAGTGCACGCAGCGCATGCTGGCAGACTTGCTGTCGGAGGTTTGCAGCATGGAAGACACGGCTCAGGCTGTGGCGCAGATGGAGCAGTGGACCCAGCTTCTTTTCCCATGGACGCTCCCCAGTGTCGGAGCAGTGGATCTGTTGGATGCTCGCAAACCGTCTTTCACCCCGATCCTCCAGTGCATGTTGCGGGAAGACAGCCTGAATGATGATGATGATGATGGCGAGAACTCCCAAGGCGAGAACACTTTGGAGGCACTGCTGCGTGAACAGGCCGGTGCTTGGGGACCATATGTCACATTGAGCCATAGGCCATAGGCATGGCGTAGCTGCATAGCCTTAGCCTTAGTCACCGTAGGCTTTAGTCTTAGTGCTAGCCAGTCGTAGTCATAGTCAGTCTATGTCTATGTCATAGTCCAAGGTTGAGGTACTGTGTTTGTGGGTATACCACTTACTTACGAGTTCAGGTGATGAGGTGTGGAGTGTGGTGAGTAGTCTAGCCAGCAACCCAAGATCGCAGGCTTTAGGGCTTTAGGGCTTCGGGAAGTCTATTGTTGTGGCTGTGGTTGCTGTCGGAGTTGTTAAGAAGTTGGTTGTTAAGTTGTTGCTATTGCTGCAGTTGCTACTGCCTTGGTGTTGGAAAGCTGTGTGTGTTGGCTGCTGACAGTGGTTGTTGGCCACTGTTGGCAATGTCATTGTTGCTGTTTCGCTTCCTGCGGTGGTTCTGCTGAGTGTAGACCTCGACCTCTTATGCATGCCGTTATAAATTGACGACCCGGTTGGGATGCCCAGCTGGCTTTGGAGAGCCTGGTGTTTGGTGGCATCATGTATAATCGTCATACTCATTGGAAGCAGAGCCTTTCAAATACAATATGGATATTTCAATTTCTGTGGTTCCATAATTGCGAACCCGAGTGAAATACCCCAAGTTTCATGACCTCTTAGGGCTGTCTTAGGGACGATACCGCTTTGGATATCTCAAATGCTGGTTGTGCCTCTTGGGCATACTGGCTAAGTCTTTACTTACTGTTGAAGCTATTTGAATACAGGGGTTTCGTAACCACGAACCCGGTTGATATACTGAAACATGAAAGCTCAGGATACAAGGGTAGTCAGTCAACTCGACTCACATCGAAACACGAACCCAGTTTGGATACTTCAAGTGTCGTGGCATCGTGAGCACGAACCCAGTGGCCCAGTTGACTTTCTGGAATCTAATCCAAGTCTAAGTGAGTCTAAGCCTAAGTAGTAAGTAGTCATCTAACTCCAAATTTAGAGTCTAGTCTAGTCTAGTCTAGTCTAGTCTAGTCTAGTCTAGTCTAGTCAAGTCTAGTCAAGTCAAGTCAAGTCTAGTCAAGTCTAGTCTAGTCTAGTCTAGTCTAGTCTAGTCTAGTCTAGTCTAGTC